GATCCATTGTTAGGCTGATGGTCCTTCTTGAGCATGTGATCAGCTGGTTTTGGTTGTCAGCAGCAAAACTGGTTGATCCACTCTGAGAAGGTGCTATTTAAGAGACTGAGCTGAAAACAGCACCTCAGACTGAGGAAGTCTCTTGGATGAGAGACGAAACGTTTCTACATTTTTTTGCTTTGTTTTGTTTTTTTGTTTTTTTGAATGTCCAGAGGACCAGATTGAACTTTTTTGGATATGTTAATGATCATATTAGAGTGAAAGGACATTTAGTATATGAACATCAGTGGTATTCTTCCGAGCCTGGCTGGAAAGTTGACCAGTTTTATGTGAATATTAGTAGATAGGGTTGTTCTTAAGACACCACTGGAATAGTCCTGCTGATAACTTCACTTATTTATTTCTTGTTTGTGTATTTTCAGCTGGTGGACAAGCTCAACACCAACACGGAGATGGAGGAAATGATTAATGACTACAGCATGGTGAATATGTCCTACAAACAATGTTGAAGGGGTTCAGCTGAGCAGCTAACATCAAATACTGCTTCCTCTCAGTGTTTTCAGCATTGTTTATCTCCTCTCAGTTGAAAGCACAGAATGACAACGAAGCTCAAAGTATTGACAGCATCTTCACTGAGAGACAAGAGTAAGTACTGTTCACTTTATCGTTCTGTTTTGCCAAAAAATACTGGGATGCACCAAACAATGAGCTCAATAGACTGTACTTCTATAGCACCTTTCTATCTGATCAAGATACTCAAAGCTCTTTACAACACAAGCTGTGCCTCATTTACCCATTCATACAGCTCTATATTAGATCTATACAAAGAGTAATCAGAGCTTTAGATCTCATTCATACACGGATGGGACACACATCGGAGGCAATGAGGGGTTCAGCATCTTGCCCAAGGACACTTCAACATGTGACTGCTGGTGGATTCGAACCCCCAACTCTTGTTTTGAAGGACGACTGCTCTAACCACTCAGCCACAGCCGCCCCACAAGGCGGCACAAAACGCACGAAAAGACGCACGAATGCAACACACGAAAAGATTGCTCGTGCAACGTTCCACGCACGTGCCGGGATGTATCTAAATGAACGTTGCATGAAAGTCAAAAAAGTGCATGTTCAATAATCCAGGTATACAATCCAACAATTTTCAGTCAGGTCATCTGGACAGTTTCTTTTTTTGCTGAAACATTTCACCTTCCATCCAGAAGGCTTCATCAGTCAAGGACGCACACAACACAAAACTGATTCTTCCCCCAAACAGCTTACTCCAAAGTGGAACAAACCAGTTATGTTGGTGCTAAGATGGTGTCTTTGGCACGCCCCCTCCTTTGGTGCCGGCCCTCTTCCTCGTCGACCGACGGATTATTGAGCATGGACTTTTTTGGTTTTGAACCAGTTTGACATGACTGTCAAAACAACGTCATTCATGTAAACTGTAGAGTTTCTTATGTTTTTGTCACATGTAGATGTAAACACACGTCAGTGATCGCACAGACAGAGGACGAGCATAAAGTGTGTGAACTGTGTAAGAGGCATTTCATCCTCGCACTGAGAAGAAAACGATGTCAGATCAGAAAATTAATTCAGAACAACTCGTCTGATGCTCCTCTGGTCGAACACACCATCACGTATCTGTCCATAAATAGCTGCATACAGTTGGACGTAACATGGGACAGTGACAGCTGTGGTGCTGCAGGACGATGTCACCAATAGAAGAGCGGCATGTGGTCAGGGACCACACAGACCAAATACTGATCAGCTATTCCTCAGTCGTCCCTGAGCCGGGCCAGCTGGATGGGAAGACTTCATCCATTTCATGCCCTGATATATACATTTTCTCCACACCGCAGAGGAAATACTTTGTTGATTCTCGGCAGCTCGTTTTGTCACATCAACTATTAAAAGAATAAGCTTTGAAGTTCTACCAAGCTGCTGAGTGCCTCTGAGTTTACACTAATTATTAATTAAACA